GCCCGCCGTAGCCACTGGCGGGGATGCCATCTGGTCACCCACCTGATTTACTTAAGCATTGTTATAACCTGACATCCATCAATTTCACGCGCACACACGGCCTGCTAGTGTCGGCTTGCATGCTGGCAGTGGCTGGTGGCGATGCAGCGGTCGCTCCTTTGCAACCCCCCATGACATGCCAGGCTGACTCGCAAACGCCACTTGATTTCAGACGCTGAACACAATGATGGACGTTTGCTCTTGACGGATCGATAGCGCAGATGCAGACGCATGTAGAACACATGGCCAACGCAGCACAGGCCCTTGCCCAGGCGTTGCAACAAGACGGAGAAATATATGTGGAGACCAGCAAACTGCAAGATGTCAGTGTCGCCGAGCTCAGCAGGTGAGATTGAGGCTGGTAATTGCAGCACGGGCGGGAGCTCGGAACCCCTGTCGTTTCAGCCGTGACCGTGCACGACCCACGCTTCAAGTTTGTGTGGGTGTTACGAAAGACTGTCACACCGCACGCAGCGGGCGGCTGAGGAAGGCGGCAGCGTGACAGCTCGCTGCGCAGACCAGCAGCCCAGCTTCCCATGGGTTCCCCACTTGCACTGGCATGATGCACACCCGGCGCTGCACCGCACCCACGCATTCTGGTCGGCCCCCGCCCCAGGGCCATCGCCAGGGGCACGGTCATCTATGAGAACGCAGATAAACGCGTCGCTGTTGTGCGCTTTGCGCTGCCGCGGTCGGGCGGTGAGCTGCATGTCGCAAAGGCCACATGGCTGGCCGACGGCGACTCACGCGCCGAGGCGCTCGGCGCGCTCGTGTGCGCCGAGGTGCGCGCATACAAGCTGCTGCAGTCCGGCGGCGTCGCGCATCCAAACGTGGGCGCGCTCGACGCCGCGGCGTGGGCGGCCAGCGGCGGCGCCGCCGCCGCCCAGGCGTCACCAGCTCCCATGGGTGACGCTGGTGGCCCAAACATCGCGTCACCGCGCCATCTGGACGGCGGTGGCAGCTGCAGCAGCGGAAGCTACGTCGTGCTGATCCAGCGCTACTATGGGGGTCAGACGCTGGACTCTTACGTCGCGGCGCGCATCGCGGCGGCGCCCAAGCGCATGGCGCCGGGGGCGCTTGAGTTCGAACGCATCCTGCTGCCTCTGGTGGAGGGTGTGGCCGGCGCCATCGCGCACGCGCATGGCATGGTGAGCAAGCAGGCCGCGGGCCGCCTCGCAGTGCGCAGCGCTCCTAGTCGCAGCTGGGATGCACTTGCTGCAGTACAGGGGCACGAAGTCGCCACTGTCGTCTGCCGCCACGCTTCGCTCATTGAAGACGCACCCACCCTGCATGCATCAATCCCCCTCAGGGACTGACGCTGCGAGACTTCAAGCCAGGGAACGTCCTCATTAGCGACCGCCCCGCCTGCGCCGACGGCAGCTGCGCCGCCGCCGCCTCTTCGCCCGCGGCCGTCCCCGTGACCGGCGCCCCCTGCGCCGGCGCCCCCGGTGCCGCGAGGCGCGGCCGCGGCGGCCTGCCGGCTGTGCCCATCCTGATCGACTTTGACGGCGCCGTCCCGACTGGCGAGGAGGCAGCAACAGCAGCAGCCGGCGAGTTCGCATACACCCCGCCGTACGTCGCCCCCGAGCTCGCGCGCGCCGCGCTCGCCGCCGCCGCCGCGGCCGGCCGCCCGCCGCGCGTCACGGGCGCGGCGATGGCGCGGCACGCGCCCAAGGGGGACGTGTTTGCCTTTGGCATTGCCGTGTGGCAGCTCGCGCACGCGGGGGCGGCGGGGGTGCCGTACCCGTTTGCGCGCGGCGACCCCACCTTTTCAAACGAGGCCGCTTGGCTGGAGGCGATAGCAGAGGACGCGCTCCCGGCGAATCCGCTGCTGTCGCCGCCGCTGCTGCGTCTGATCAATCAGTGCCTCGAAAAAGACCCCTCGCTGCGCCCCGACATGGCGGCCGCCGCGCAGCTGGTCGGCGAGTGGCGGTTGCTGTTGGATGCGGCGCCCGCGGCGGAGGGCGGGCGGCCGGCGGCGGCTGCGGCTGCGTGGGCAGGGGACGCGGTGGTGCAGCAGCAGCAGCAGCAGCAGGAGCAACAGCAGCAGCAGCAGCAGCCGCCGCAGCAGCGGCTGCGGTCGGCCGAGCGCGGGGACGCTCAGGTGGTCGTGGTGACTTGGGAGCAGCTCGCGGCAGACCGATGGCACTTTATAGGTCCCTGCGGGTCGCGGCGCGGGCCGGCCAGTCGTGCGGCGCTGCTCTCCGGCCTCAAGGCCGGCCGGCTTTCCGGCGTGACACCGGTGATCGTCTGGCCGTCTGCCAAGGCAGGCAGAGCCACCAACGGCAGAAGTGACGTCGCCGGCGCGCTCGTGCCGCTGGCCGCGCTGGCGCCGCTGCTGGCGGAGTCGCTCGCCGCGCGGGGCCGCGGGCGCTGGGGCGCACGGCCGGCCGGCTCCTGCGGCAGCTGCGGCCTGTGCGCGGGCTGCAGGGGCTGCGGCGCGGCGCCGCGGCTTGGCGCGGCCGAGCGGCTGGCCGGGCGAGAGGCCGTTCACCCCTATTCGTCAGCCCCCCACACCAAACTGGGCCATTACGTCGGCGGCGGCAGCGGCGCCGGCGGCGCCCCGCGAGCCGAGCTGCTGCGCCGCAAGGCGCAACAGTGGCGCCGTCGCGCGGGCGCCTGGTGCCACGCCGCGCGTGCGGCGCCGGGCAAGCTCGGGCACTTGATGGGGGGCGCGGCGCTGCGGGCAGCCGGGGCGGGCCGCATCAAGGCTTGCTGGAAGGGCCCGGGGGAGCTGTCTCACCATCAAGATGCGGCGCGGCCGCTCGTCCTTGCGGAAGCTGGCAGCAGCTGCAGCAGCGCCGGCAGCGGCGGCGGCAGCAGCCGCACATCGCCAGAGCCGTGTGCAGGGTTGGGCGCTGGCACAGGCGACGGGCTTGAGGGCGGCAGCGGCTCCTGGGGCAGCGAAGGAAGCAGCGCGGGCGGTGGAGGCTGCGACGCAGCGCCCGCCAAAGCGGCCCGTGCGTGGGTGTAGCTTGGGGAAGGTGTAGGCTCGACCGATCCTGGCTCCCGCATTTGAGGACGACCTCACAGCTGGACAGACGGCGCGGCCTCGACGCCGCCCGCGACGGCTGCTGCCCAGCGGCGGCGGCTGCCGCGAACCATCCAGGTTGTGTATGCGAAGGCATCGATTACGAGACGGACACGGACACCCCTTTCTGCAGCCCTCCAGTCCGCTCAGCCGTGGCGAACTTCCGGAACGATCACCCTGCATGGGCGGCGCAGCTGAGTCCTCATGCCACCCCGCCCGTTCACTTTGTTAGCCAATGCACACGCGTCGTGATGCATTGACTTTATTGCCCCTTGCGATGTCGCTTGGGCCGAGACCCCTTGTTACCAACACTCTGCTCATGCAGCAAACGATGACAGCATGGGCGGTCACTTCCTCTGCGCCTTCTTACCACCAATGTGTGTCAGCACATCCACTCCAATGTGTCTGTGCTTATGCATCCACCTGATGTGGTGCCTGAGGGCGACTGCTACTGTGTGACGTCACTTGGCTTGCTTCCGACCCATCGGCCTCAAGGGATACAAACTTTGCTTGTCGGTATTACATAGCAACGCCATGCCGCGTGAGGGGACTACGAGTCAACGAGCGAGATGCATGATCCCTGCAGACTCACCTGCACACTGCCCGCGCCAACATTTGCCCACTGGGAGTACGCGCTCAATTAACCGCTAATAGAGTGGACTTGCACTTCACTTTTGGGAGGGGATTGTCAACTTCTTGTTGCAAGGTTTGCCGTTTGTATGGAGAGGGACAGGGTGCATCGCATACCACCTTTCACATGCCTGCAAAACTTGGTCTCGTGACCAGAAATGTGGCTGTGAGGTGTACACACAAAAGGTTCAACAAAACACGACCACATCAACGCAAGCGTTATGACAAATGACATAGCCGCCTTGCAAGCTGCTGTAATGTAACGTGTCTTCTGCAGTCACCTGCCGTGTCATTGGGGAGCAGCTACTGTGCAGGCAGCAGCACACCGGGAGCGCGCCGGCTGGCCCCCCTCAGCCGCCCCCCACTGCCAGCACAGCCGCCTGCCCGTCCCCCATTTCCCGCTCGCCCACCAGCGGCACGCACTCCCACATGCGCACACTCCAGCCCGCGGCCGTCCCGGCCGGATGCAGACCCAAGCCCGGCCCCATGCCGACCGCCGGCCCTGCCCCGCGGCCTGGCGGCTCCCCGCACAAGTCGGGCAGCTGCACGCACAGCGCAGAGACGTGCCTCGGGGAAGGGCGCAGCAGCATCAGCCCATATGAGTGGGGGTCGGGTGCGTGCAGCTGCAACGCGATGGCCTGCTGTCCCGGGGCCAGCGAAATCCCGGCAGCGTCGGCGCCCTTCAGACGTTCACTGCTACTTGCGCTGCCGCACGCAATGTCGGCGCTGCCGTCACGTTCGCTACTGCTGCTGCTGCTGCTGCTGCTGCTGCTGCTGCTGCTGCTGCTGCTCAAGCTGCTGCTCAAGCTGCTGGTCAAGCTGCTGATGTCACCAGAGCTGCTGCCAGTGCTTCCGCCCATCCAGCCGGCGTGCCCTCGCTGCTGCGACAGTTCGTCAACTCCGCCAAAGCCTGCGACGCGCGATGCACAGCCGTGTGGCTGCTTGAACAGCATTGACCACGCATGCTACAACACGCGCTTTCAACTCGACGCCCTTATGCCTCACCCCCCTCCCCAGTGCTGCTCCAGTGCAGCTCCAGTGCTGCCATAAGGCAGCCCCGCCCCCGCCCTGCCGCAGCGGCGGCCTGACGCCCTGAAACCCACCTATGCTGAACCCTTTGAGGCCCGGCGGCGCGCTGATGCCCGCGCCTTTCGCCTTCACAAACGCTTCCTTGAGCGTCCACAGGCGCATGAATAGCGCGGCGCGGGCCTCGGCGTCCGGCTCGGCTGCGTCGGATGACGCGGAGCGTGCGCAAATGCACACGCGGTGTGCATTCGTTCATGTGTGCATGTTTGCATGGGTGTGTGCAGTGTGCTTGCAAGCGTGACGCAGGAAGGGCGCCGCGTCAAGCCGCGACGGCCACGCACCCAAAGACCTCGTCCGTCGTGTGCGAGGCCCTCCCATTGGCCCCCCGCAGCGCCGTGCCTGCACCCTTCCAAGCACGAGGCGCGGCCTTCGGTGACCCCACGCTTGCACGTACCCGCAAGCATATCAAACTCTGACGGCGTCAGCCGCCGCCGCGCGAGCCTGAGCACGTCGCGCCCCGACTGCCGCGCTGACTCCTCTACATCGAGGCCTACAGGCGCCCCCGCGCTCACGGCGCAGCCTGCGGCGTGCGAGGGTGGGTAGATGGCTGCAAGGTCGCGCGCGTGTGCACGCCGCAGCTGTGGAGGGTGCAGGGATAAAGCGAAAGTCACTTTTGCGGTACCGCTGCAATCCAGTATATGACTCGGCAACCAAAGCGCCGCCCGCGGCGCTGCGGGGCTGGGCAAACACGGCATCCACAACGGCAGCGCGGCGCCCGCGAAATCGACCAGCGGAAGCGTCCTGAACCCACTGGCACCCCCAAAAACAGCGCTCCAGACCAGCCCCACCGAGTCGTGTCACGAGGAAAAGGCGAGCGCCCCTCACCCACCCAGCAGCGACGCCGTGTGCGACAGGTTGAATTCCAACCGCGGCCGCCCCACCTCGGCGCCGCCCGCGAGAAATGGCTTGCCGTTGCCATTTTTAGAGAAGGCGAGCTGCAGGGCACGGCGGCGGGCGATGCACGAGCACGGCAATGGGCAGGTGGCGTGGTTTACATATAGTGGGTTTCGTCTGACGCCCACAATCTGGGAGACCCGAAGGCAAGGTACGGCGGCTGGCTTGCGTGACGCCGTCCCTGCAAGTCTCCTGACCTGTGAGGGGTCTGCTCCAGGCAGGTAGCGCGCGAGGGTGGTGCGCACCAGCGCGCGCGCGAGCAGCCGCTGCTTGCGCGTCGCGCCGTCGCGCGCCTCAGCCGCGTGGGCGACCTCTGCCTGCGGCAGCAGCGCCTCGCAGCGGCGGAGCAGCTGGTCGTCGACCTGGCAGGGGGGCGGTCGGTCCGCGGGATGCGGTGTGCATGTGTGCAATGCATCTGCTTTCCTTGACTGGCACCGCCGATGCGACGATTTTGCGTGCGGCAGTATTTGGTCAACACAGGCCGCAACACAGCTCAAGGCTTTCCACCCTGCGGGTATGAAAAACGGCGCAGCGCGCACTTCGCTGGTGTGGAGCCACCAGATGTGAACCTCCCCAGGTGCGAGCTCCCGCTCAGGGCCGCCCTTGCATGTCGCCGCCGTTTGTTGCGGCGCGTGCGCCGCGGCGCGCCTGCAGAGCGCCAGCAGCTGTCCACCATTTTGGAGCGGTCGCCAAATGGTGGTGCGTCCCAGGATTTGCAGCATTGCCGGCATCCTGCTGACCGTCTTTAGACGCGGATGGGCGCCCTTGTGAGGCTGGAGAACCCGGGACTGCATTCTGAGTTCAACTCGGCACTTTCATTCTGAGCGCCATGCCTCTGGGCAACTCGCCATACACTAATTATACATTGTCACATCACCGTCACATTTTAGCATATGGGTATGATGCCGGTATTGTTGTGTGCGGCTTGCCATCACACTGATCATGCACATGTGTGTGCCTCGCCCTGGCCTCGCCACCTCGCTGATCTGCCCTACATCGGCAGCAGGCGCTGGTGGCCGCCATGCTGCGCAGAACCTGCTGCGTGAAGCGCGTCTGCTTCGACCACATTGTGCGGCGGTCGGGCGAGCGGGGCGTGCCGTTGGAGTTGCGGCGGCAGCTGCTGAGTGGTGTCAGGTACAAAACAGGCAGCAGTAGCTACTGAGCTGCCGGTGCTTGTGGCAGTGCGAGGCCTTTGCTTTGGCTACTTCAGCTTTGGCTCACCCTGCTGTCGATACTTGGCGCTGCTGCACTGCGCGATGGCGGGCCTGCGTGTGTTCGTTGGTGTTCGTGATGTGTCTGCGACTCAACCCTGTGTCTTCATCTGCTGGTAATGTGCATGGCGGTACAGTAAAGAAGCTCAGTGGAGACCCTTGCAATGCAGTTGTACGGAACGGCATACTCTCATCATTTGGTGTTGTAGGTGTCATAAATTGTATCCCCTGTGCTGGTCATGTGCTGTTCAGATTGAGGCTGCATGCGTCGCGACTGCAGATGTGAGAGGCCGCACAGCCGTCTGGCTCAACGCACCGATGGTGCACGGCTGCATGCCCATTGTGCATGTTTGTTTTTGGCACCTATTAACATTGACATGAGTTCCCATCAAGCGAGAACAGCGCCATACAGCAGCTCCCCATGCAAGTTGACCTTTGAGATGCTGACCGCGTCACTGATGCACAGAATTTCACGGTCATTGTCACGGATTCAAGCGAGTCAATGTTGTGGCACTGGTGAGCTCAGCCCCTTGAGTCAAAGCTCTCAGTAATATAATCAGATCCGCCCGCCTCTGTGCGATATAGCGTTGGGAGTCTCAGAGCCCGGGCCTCCATTTGCTTGTGGCAGCAGCAACAGATGGGAGGCTGGCGAACAACAGCTATGACTATGTGCCAGAGCACCTCAGCAGTGCAAGACCAGGCTTACAATGCAAACCAAATAGAGGGCATGTCTGGTCCCTGTTGCAAGTAGTATGGAGCACACAAGGCGTTGCAAGGTGGTGTGGGGAGTGCCAAGCGGTCTAGTCATATCAGGGCGCCTCACGGGCCTTTTGCACAGTTCCTCTGCGCAGGTTTGGGTGCTGACGAAGCTCTTTTTTGGAAAGTTGATTTTCTGTCTCTATTGCTGAACAGGTTGTTGTTCCAGCCTGTCATGCGCCGCCGTGGTAGTCACTCTGACTGGTCGACAAATGACGGCGGCTTCATTATGCAGGCACCCAGTGTGTGTGCAGCGCTGCTCAAAAATGGTTTTCACAACATTGGCGCGATCTGCAGCGACAAGCTGCACGGCGTCGCGATCCGTCTGCCGAGGTGAGAAGCACACCATGAACGTGGAGTAGTAGT